CCCCCCGGACGGGGGTTTGAGTGCCGAAAAGCCGGACATGTCCGGGAAAAAGAGGACGTATGGTAACCCTAAGCCAGTGCACCCCAATCCCGAGCTGACGCTCCTTCAGCAGGCCTTCTCCTGAGCAGGCTGCAAAGCGTCTCCTGGTTTGTGACAAACAGCCACTCAAGATTGGAATGAGACCCACCAAACTCATTGCACTGGTGGCCTAGGGAAGCTTTGTAATGATGGATTAGGTTCACCCATGTGGGTGCGTGGAGCCAGCCTGACCCTCAGGGAGGCAGGGCAGAGGAGGACTAACTCTGAGGGGCAGAAACATGTGACCAGCACCTGCCCATCCAGCTGGAACCCTGCTGGTGAAGGTTGCTCAGGGGATATGCTGATCCAGCACTCACCCAGTTGCCCTGGCCATGCCCCTGCCCTCATTTTATGGGCTGTGCTGGTCTCTGCAGGCCATCCTGGCAGAGGGGAGGGTGCAGTCACTTCCCCACCTCTGCCAGGCTGTATCCCGGTGCGGTACTGGGGTGAATTCGAGGCCCAGGTCTCTGGGATATATTCTCTGAGCACAGGCTTCAGCTCAAACACCCTGAGGATGCCTGTGGGGATGCTGGTTTAATTTCTTGGCCTTGACCCTGCTTGAGTTTGGTCCTAACATTTGGCTCTGCAGGGACCTGGTGTGAATTTCCTCATGGGGAAGGGCTTGAGGGGGGCGCCACATGTCAGTTACACCAAATTGGAGCCCGGGCCCAGGTGGTGAAAAACAGCGACTCTATCAGGGTGCTATTCTAGGGAGACAAGGGCATTGGCCGAGGGGGCAGACCTCCCCTGATTTGAAAGGCAGGGAGTTTGGTTCTCTGGATAGCAGTGCCAATCTGCACAGAATAAAATGTCCAACCTGCGGAAGACAGGAGGGACTTGGGAACACTGAAGGCCGGAAGACACAATCCATGGTAAGGAATTGAGGACTTGGACCCAGTTTCAGAATTGCAGAGAGCACAGTGCTTCATTCACTGTGGTTCCGGCTCTGCCCTGTTCTCTTTGGCATTTGGACACCTTTAGTTTCTCCAGCAACTCCATGTGCAGTTTGTTTAGTGTGATCATATTATAACTACTCCCCTCACAGGAATCATCACAGACCTTTTTGCCATGTCCCACCAGCCCTTATGTAAGGTGCTTATCCCCCTTTATGACCACAGTACACGTTACTTCAACACGCATGCTATTTGTTAAATTCATGCAACACACAGGAACAGAGATTTGGGTTAAGAGAAACACACCACTCACCCGTGCATGCTGCTACAGTACAGGCATGGGGTAGCCAGCCAAACACAGTGAGTTAAGATGACGACGGCTTTTTCAGCTAGATGCATGGACACACTTACACAATATAATCATGCACCTGGAGGAGTCGAAAACAGCATGCAAAACAGAGACAACATTCATTTGGGGAAAACAAACACTCCAGAGGATCTCTGGGTTGTCTGAAAGCTGGCATGCTCTTCCAAACAGATGCAAGGGGCATGCTGGTCAAGCAATGCCAGATGCCAAGACAGATAACACTGTGAGATGACGACACTGAAACACAAGTCTTGTGGCATGGCTCCCCATAGTACCTCAAAGTGGGACACTTCTGGGATATGGTGGGAGCCCTGCTCCCCTTCCTTGGCATCTTCTTCTTGGCCAGGAGCTGCTTTGTCAGTATCCTGGGAGGAAATCGCACCTTCAGCTTCCCTCTCACTCATGTCTTTATCGAGCTCAGGCAGACTTCTAGAGAAGTCTTCAAAGGCTGTGCTGTGGAAGTCGCCGATCATAGTGAAGTCTACCTCGGCTTCCAGGCTGGAGGTCGAGCTGACCGTGATGCTCGAGCACTTTCGCTCGATGGCCAGATGGTTGTCCTTCAGAAAGACTGAATCCCTCTCCTGGTCTTGCTCCTCATCCCCAGTGTCGCTCTCAGGAGCCCTGTGCCGAGGTGGCTTCGCTTTCTCCTCTGCGCCCTCCCTCGCTCCCGCTCTCTGAATGAGACACAATGGCGAAGAGAGGCTAAGACTGTAAATTCCAAAGGGCAGGCTAGGGCCAGCTAAGCCAACGGGAGAGAGGGAGGAGGTGGCTGGGAAAATGTCACAGAGGGGGATTCAAACACAACTCAAGCATGAAAACTGAAACTTTTGACAGCAGCAACTTTGCAGGGGAAATTTATTTGGTCTGATTTGCAGAGAGGAATTAGAAAAGAAATAAATAATAATAATAATAATAAAGAAAAACAGTTCCAAAGAAATTCTCAGGCATGTCGTTGAACCTGATGGAAGCAGACGTGTGCAAAACAACAGGTATGTTAAGAGACATTTATAAACAGCTCAGACTGCAATTATGTGTCAGTAAGTTTGGCACCAAAACAAACAAGGAAGGGAAAGGGGGAGAGGATAGGATTTTGAATGAAAGAAAAGAAAAAAGCTCCATCAGCTGCATGTATTCAAGGAGAAGTGAAGGAGCTTGTCAATTTCACTGAGATCACCCTATAAGAGTTTTACACTCACTGTGTTGGGGCATCACTCTAGGTTTTTATGTGTTCATTTTAATCAGATGTATGGGAGGAATGGTCAATGTTCACCCATGGAGGCCCCGTGAATGGGACAGGGCAGGGCATCACCCTGCAGGGGATCCTGCTGGAAGCTGAACAGAGCGCTTGTGTGAGAACGAGCCTGGACTCTGTAATGCTTCCCAAAAGCTTGCTGAACAACCGGAGCGGACCCAGTCAAGTTTAAACAGCTGCGTTTTTAATCAGTGTAATTGACAACGGGATCAGAGCAAAGAGATAGCCTTCCTCTGCTGACTCCTCTCAAACGACGTACATACCTCTCAACTGTCCCAGCACAGGGTAAATTTCACCCCACCTTGCTTGCCACCTGTTTACTGCTCAGGAATCAGAAATCGGGAATTATTCATTACTTTTGTTTTAAGATTTGCTTTTTGCTCAAGGAACGGTTTCACCCCTCTATAAAGGCTGAACCAAAGCCCACTGATGTCAATGGAAAGCCTTCCAGTGACCTCGACGTGCTCAGGATCAGGCCGTCACAAAGTCAGAGATATCCCCCACTTTGGTCGGACCGTTCCAACTCGGCTGCCTTTTGTCCAGATGACTGGTGGGTTGAGAGGTATGAGACATAGGGGTCTCCAACAAACTCGAGAGGAGCATATACATATACACACACACGTGTATATATATATAGCAGCTCTGCAATAGGGGAAGGAGTCAAAAGCATACAGTCCTCAGCTGGTTAAGGTGAGCTTTCATACTACAGTAAGAAGCAGTTAGTAAAACAGCACTGAGACCTGGGAGACCACTGGAATAGCAGTCCTTAAACCCTCTTCTTTCGGGGCGGCTTTTACTGATGGGTCAGATAAATCCTTTTCTTCCCAAATTGGTTCCTGAGATTTGCTCTGGATTAGAGAAACGGGTTAGTCTTTAGCAATGAACTCCAAAAGGAACTGAGCCAGTGCCTTACAAGAGCAGCAGAAAGCTATTTCACCCTCCAGGCACCAGCTTGCCAAAGGGGGTGGGGAGGAGGTGAGAGGGACTCACAAGCCAAGCAAGAGGGGACAACAAATTAAGAAGTGCAAGGAACAAGCTGGAAGCGTGGGAATTTTGCTGCTAGGTGTGCATGTGTGTGTGTGGGAATATAAAAGCTCTCTGATCCGCACCCCCACGCCCCCTTCTTGCTCCTGGGCATGAAGCTCGTGTGCCCAGTTGGCATTCTCCAGGTAGCCAAACCGTCAGGAGTTCACAAAACAAAAGCTGATGGACCGACTGGCCAGCGGGTCTGCATTCAGCTTAGGAGCCAGGCCACATACACATACATAAAGGACAGGGAATGCAAAGCGGCCGTTCTCAGTCAATGGATGTGTGAGGTGCCATTGAACATGATCATAAATAAAAGAGCCACGCAACATGCTTATGAACTTTCCATTGGGACAGTTCATGGGAGGAGTTACCACAGCTTCTGTCAGGGTGATTTCACAGCCGGAATCGGGGGAAGCAAGCCCGGTGCCTTCTCCTCTGTGATCTGAATCCGTGGAAATACCTTCCTTCAAAGACGGAGGCTGGGAAGACTCTCTTGTGGCTGCCCGTTGCGCAGTGGTTAGGCATCCAACACCAGACACTTCCCCAACATGCCTTGCTCTGTCATCTGAGGCGACCGAGGGTGTGGGAGACATGGCTAGACCCGTGGCCCGTGGCGGCTCTATCTGCACCTCTGTTGGTTTAGATGGTCTCTTGGCTTCATTCTCTCGGGGCCGCTCTTGGGCTGCTCTTTTTCGCTCATCAGAGACTGGGCCGCAAGCGCCACCTTGTTCAAACAGCTTAATTTTAGAAGCCACAGAGGTTTTTTCATACATCTCGCAGTCATGCCCCAGTGAGCCCTGCCAGCCAGTGGTGAGGGAGGGTGAAGCCAGCTCCACAGGTGCCTCCTCAGGCTCCTGAGACGTAACTTCCACCACACCTGCAATGGACTTCAAAGGGCCAGACTCTGGCTTTTGTTTCCTATTGGGAGGTTTCCCGCCTTCAGCCGTGGCAACAACAGGCCCAGACTCTGGCTTTTGTTTCCTATTGGTAGGTTTCCTGCCTTCAGCCGTGGCAACAACAGGCCGTGACAATTCCTTGTCCCCATGAGGTGATCCTCTTACAGGAGAGCCTGTAGAGACTGCTTCAGTTTCTTCTCCCGGAGGAGGTTTATCCTGCAGTTGCTTGCCCGTGGCAGGGCCTTTGTCCTGGGGCAGCTCATCTGCCTTGAAGCTTATGTCCTGGGGAGGCTCACCCACCTTGGAGCCTGTGTCCTGGGGCGGCTCACCCACGGTGGGGCCTGTGCTCTGGG